ATGCCAGCACACAGCCATAGTCCACTGTTATTACTGTCAGGAATCAGTTGCAGAGCTGTGAGTGCAGCTGAAGCTGAAGCAAGTCATGGACAAAAATATTGGCACCCCTGCATTTCTGTCAGATAATGCACCACTTCACCCAGAAAATTGTTGCAATTATAAATGTTTAGGCATTCTCATGTTTATTTTTTTTTTCTTTTCTTTTGGTATTACACAAAAAAAGTGGAGAAACAAAAACCAAATCTGACACATTCCATGCAAAACCCCCAAAATGGACTGGACAAAAGTATTGGCAACCTCATTTTAATATTTGGTAGCACACACCTTGGAAAAATAACTGAAAACAATCACTTCCTGTAACCATCAATGAGTTTCTTACAGCTCTCTACTGGAATTTTGGATCACTCTTCTTTCATCAACTTCTCCAGGTCTCTCAGATGGAAGGGTTCCTTTTCCCAACTGCTGTTTTGAGATCTCTCCACAGGTGCTCTATGGGATTGAGATCTGAACTCCGTTTGGAACTCTCCAGCACTTTGTCTTAAACCATTTCTGGGTGCTTTTTGACATGTGCTTTGGGTCATTGTCCTACTGTAAGACCCATAACCTTTGACGGAGACCCAACTTTTTGACACTGGGCCCTACTTTGCACCCCAGACTTCTTTGGTAGTCAAGACACTCCAGTGCCTAAAGAAGCAAAGCAACCCCAAAACATCAGTGACCCCCCACCATGTTTGACTGTAGGGACTGTATTCTTTTCTTTAAAGGCCTCCTTTCTTTTTCTGAAAACAGTAGAATGATGAGCTTTACCAAAAAGCTGTAATTTTTTTTGTCTGTCCACAGCACATTCTCTTAAAAGGATTTTGGCTTCCTCAGGTAAGTTTTGGCAAACTCCAATCTGGCTTTTTTTATGTTTCTGTGTCAGCAGTTGGGCCCTTCTGGGTCTCCTTCCATAGCATCCCTTTTCCTTCAGATGGCGGCGTATAGTGTGAGCTGACACAGTTGTACCCTGTGCCTGATGGTCAGCTTGAATTTGTCTGGAGGTTGATTGAGGTTCTTTATCCACCATTCCAACAATCCTTCATTGCAATCTTTGATCAATTTTTCTCATTCGTCCACGTCCAGGGAGATTAGCTACAGTGTCATGGGCTCTAAACTTCTTGACAATGTTGCGCACAGTGGACACAGGAACAATAAGATCTCTGGAGATGGACTTGTAACCCTGAGATTGTCCGTGCTTTTCCACAATTTGTGTTCTCAAATCCTCAGACAGTTATTTGCTGCTTTCTCTTCTCCATGCTCCATGTGGCACACCGAGACACACAACAGAAAGGCTGAGTCAATTTTTCACCATTTTAACTGGTTGCCGATGTGATTTCTATATTGTCACCATCGGTTAATTCATACAAGTGAGTTTTATCACAAACTACATCACAAACTTGGAATGCAATTATTTCTTACAATTTTAAGAAGGCACCAATAATTTTGTCCAGTGCATTTTCAGTGGAATGTGTCAGATTTGGCATTTTGTTTCTCTCCTTTTTTGTGTCATACCAATACAAACAAAAGAAATAAACATGAGAATGACTAAACATTTGTAACCCTCTGGGTGAAGTGGTGCATTATCTGACAAAAATGCAGGGGTGCAGGGCTGCTGTTAGAAACCATGGGGCCCCATACAGCCAACCTGACAAGGCCCCCTTCCCCAACAACAATTTTTTTTTTTTAAACTATGCTTCAGTTATGAATGAAACACAGTGAACGATTGGTACTGATCACTCATTGTGTTCATTCAGGAAAGGAAGGGGGTTGTTAACTGGACACTTCCTCCATTCTCCATCCTGAAGGATCCTATTGCAGCTTGCAGTGTATTACAGTGTGCTTGCAGCTGCTGGTGGGAAAGATAAGAGGGAAGCCAGCAGCAGTGCAAGGGTGAGGGGCCTACGCAGCAGGGGAAATGTATTGTGTGCAGGGAGGGTGATGGGTGTGGTGGGGGGGCAATTAGTGGAACCGATCCCCTGTATGGTTCTCTCTACTGCAGCTGAACGGCAGCGGGATAGGAGAAGAAGCTGGCTGTAATTGCCCCCCACTGTGCCGATCACCCGCCCTGCACACCTCCTATTCACCCCAGCTGCCTGGCCCCCCTGCTGGCCTGGGATTGGTGGTAACCCCTTATCCACGGCCTTGCAGGGGTGCCAATATTTTTGCCATGACTGTATACAGAAATGAGATGAAAGAGACTGGAGGAGATCAGCAGCACTGACATACAAAAAAAAAGGATGAAAATAGGGTAAAAACTATTTATGGGATACAATGGATATTTAATTATGATGATGCAAAGGGCTAAAAAAACGAATGTAGCCTAGTTTAGGGTTCAGATCTATTTTCGTATTTACCCAGCTGCAATTAAAAGAAAAAGTGTTTTTTAAGTTTGATTTTTTAGTACTGACCTTAGTTTGTGAAGAAGATATGTACAAATCAACTATACATTGTCCACATGAAATCCCCCATCTGACATTTAGTGCAATGAGCAAAGAATCTCTGTGATGGTAATTGCTGGCCTGGCCACTGCATTCTATACTATCTGCATTCAGTGTAACACTTTCTCTAGAAGACCTTGATACAACAATAGGCAAGACTCTTGTCATGTACTCTGCTAGGCTCAAGTGTTTTATTCCAGTAATGTTCCTGAGACAACAGAAGGAGATTTGATGGTTGCTGGTGCCTGGAAACACAGATGTGTGCCTGATATCACACCTAAGCTGCACACATGGCCCCGCGTCCTAAGATTTATATTTCTTGATTAGCCATTTCCTCTTGTTAACATTTCATTAGCAGGATCTGTTCTTCTACCTCAAGTATTTCTGTCCTACAGAGATTTAATTTAGCCAGCTATCACTCATGAATCTTGCAGCTAAGCAGACATTAATTGTTGATGTTTTTGTGCCTAGCTTAAAGGAAATGTACAGTTGTGGCCAAAATTATTCAACCCCCCAATGCTGTAAAGGGGTTTTAGGGACTATAGTGTACATTTGGAATTGTATTCAGAATCAAATCCTACAAGGACGTTGTAACTACCCAAATGCAACTAAAATGACATCAATTGTTTATGTAATACAGTAGTAAAATGGTTCTTATGTGGTTTCTTCATTGCCACAATTATTCAACCCCTTAAAGACTACCACTCTGAAGAACAGAGGTTCATACAGGTGCTTTCCATCAGGTATTGAAAACACCTGTGGATGTCACCGAGCAGCAATCAAGCATAATAAGCACCAATTAGGCAGCTTTAAAAATGACTGTGATACTCAGCTCCTTCTAGACATTTACTGGTGTGGTTACAAACATGGTGAAGGCAAGAGAATGGTCCAGGAAGACAAGAGAAGAGGTGATTTCTCTTCACAGGAAGGGCAATGGCTATAAGAAGATTGCAAAGATGTTAAACATACCAAGAGACACCTTAGGAAGCATCATTCGCAAATTCAAGGCAAAGGGCACTGTTGAAACGCTACCTGGTCGTGGCAGAAAGAAGATGCTGACTTCGACTGCTGTGCGCTACCTGAAGCGTAGAGTGGAGAGAAGTCCCCGTGTGACTGCTGAGGAACTGAGAAAAGATTTGTCAGATGTGGGTACAGAAGTTTCAGCCCAGACAATAAGACGCACACTGCGTAATGAAGGCCTCCGTGCCAGAACTCCCAGGCGTACCCCCTTGCTGTCTCCAAAGAATAAGAAGAGTCGACTGCAGTATGCCAAAAGCCATGTGGACAAACCACAAAAGTTGTGGGATAGTGTTCTGTGGACTGATGAAACAAAATTAGAACTGTTTGGGCCCATGGATCAACGCTATGTTTGGAGGAGGAAGAACAAGGCCTATGATGAAAAGAACACCTTGCCTACTGTGAAGCATGGTGGAGGGTCAATCATGCTTTGGGGCTGTTTTGCTTCTGCAGGTACAGGGAAGCTTCAGCGTGTGCAAGGTACCATGAATTCTCTTCAGTACCAGGAGATATTGGATGGAAACGTGATGCAGTCCGTCACACACCTGAGGCTTGGGAGACGTTGGACCTTTCAACAGGACAATGATCCCAAGCATACCTCCAAGTCCACTAGAGCATGGTTGCAGAGGAAAGGCTGGAACATTTTGGAGTGGCCATCGCAGTCACCAGACTTAAATCCGATTGAGAACCTCTGGTGGGACTTAAAGAAAGCAGTTGCAGTGCGCAAGCCTAAGAATGTGACTGAACTGGAGGCCTTTGCCCATGAAGAATGGGCGAAGATACCCGTAGATCGCTGCAAGACACTTGTGTCAAGCTATGCTTCACGTTTAAAAGCTGTTATAACTGTAAAAGGATGCTGTACTAAGTACTAAGATTGAATGTCACTTGGGGGTTGAATAAAACTGATAATGCTGTGAGCACAGAAAAGACATTTGTGGTTATTTCATTATAAACTGTTATGTTATATTTGTCTGACCTACAAGTGCCTCTTTAATGTAAATGTAAGCAAGATGACTGAATGATCAAAAGCAATGTCAAACTGGCCAAAACACTCAATTTCAGTGGGGGTTGAATAATTTTGGCCACAACTGTATAGTATTTTTTTTTTAAAGCAGAACACATTTTTTTTTAAATTAGGGCTGCAACTAACGATTATTTTCAGAATCAATTGGCATATTTTTCACTTCAAAAGACATACTTTCCCCCCCCAAAAAATGGGGGAAAATGTCTGTGCGTCTTATGGAACGAATATGGAGCGGCCGGCCTGGTATTCCCGCCACCGCCGTGTTATAATACTGGGCTGTCCATTCACCTATTCTGTGTTCCTCTGTCCACAGCCAGGTGCCCACTGCGTATGCACGAGAAGCGCTGCGCTTTGTGAATGGTCCGGCAGTCCTCTGGGATCAGATGTCCCATAAGACGGGGAGGGAGAACAACTCTGCAGAAGTGGGAGCGGGTACCTGTCAAATTCGGGTATCCGCTCCCTCCCCTCTGCTCCCCAAAGATCCGCAGTCTCTGGTCATCTCCTGTACCGTGTCCGCAGTCTCTGGTCATCCCCTGTACTGTGTCCGCAGTCTCTGGTCATCTCCTGTACTGTGTCCACAGTCTCTTGTCATCCCCTGTACTGTGTCCTCAGTCTCTGGTCATCCCCTGTACCGTGTCCGCAGTCTCTGGTCGTCTCCTGTACTCTGCAGTCTCTGGTCATCCTCTGTACCATGTCCGCAGTCTCTGGTCATCTCCTGTACCGTGGCCACAGTCTCTGGTAATCCCCTGTACTGTGTCTGCAGTCTCTGGTCATCTCCTGTACCGTGTCCTCAGTCTCTGGTCATCCTCTGTACCGTGTCCGCAGTCTCTTGTCATCTCCTGTACTCTGCAGTCTCTGGTAATTGTCTGTACCGTGTCCGCAGTCTCTGGTCATCTCCTGTACCATGTCCGCAGTCTCTGATCATCTCCTGTAGTATGTCCGCAGTCTCTGGTCATCTTCTGTACTGTGTCTGCAGTCTCTGGTCATCTCCTGTACTGTGTCCGCAGTCTCTGGTCATCTCCTGTACTGTGTCCGCAGTCTCTGGTCATCTCCTGTACTGTGTCCGCAGTCTCTGGTCATCTCCTGTACTGTGTCCGCAGTCTCTGGTCATCTCCTGTACTGTGTCCGCAGTCTCTGGTCATTTCCTGTACTCTGTCCGCAGTCTCTGGTCATCTCCTGTACTATGTCCGCAGTCTCTGGTCCTCTTCTGTACTATGTCTGCAGTCTCTGGTCATCCCCTGTACTATGTCTGCAGTCCATTGGTTCAGAATATTTTTTTTCTTGTTTTCCTCCTCTAAAACCTAGGTGCGTCTTATGGTCAGGTTCATCTTATGGAGCGTAAAATACGGTAGTTGGATGATTATTGTTTAGATTAATCAGCTAAAAACCTCAAAAAACAGTGTGTCTTTTTTTTAAAACTTTACATATTAACTAAATTATACAATTTATTTTTGAATATCTATATGCCATGGTAAATATAAATAACCAGCTACATGGCTAGAGAACAAAATATCTAATTCACTCTCAGAATAACAAAAAGAAGAGATGTATATATTATTAGAGATTGAATCTGGCACATATCATCAGACTCAGAGATCAGAATTTATATTCAAAGAAACATTTTTATTTAAAGACCTAAAATGCTGTTTTGAAAATTTTCAGACAGAATTGTAATATAATATTATGTATAACAGACTTCGTGTCATAGGCAGGTAGCTTGATACAATCACCCTGTGGCTGCTCTCTCTAAGACACTAGGTGCACGTTCACATATGTCCAGTGCACTGCCGGTGCAGATTCAGTGCTGTATAAAAAAAGAGTCCTGTCTGATTTCTCAGCGGTGCGGTCCAGTTCAGGTGCAAATTACAGGCTTTTGACTTCTATGGGAACAATTTAGAAACCTGACGTGTGAACAGGATAAAATCCTGAACTGATCCTGTCCTGAACCTGATGTACAGTAAACCCGACATGAACCTGTGAACAGCTACTGTGTCATTTAGCTGTAAAACCTGAGCTTCCATCTGCTCTGCATATGTGTGAATCCGCACTTAGTGCTGATTCACATATATGCAGATTGGATGAGGTCTGAACCACCTCCAATCTGCATGACATGTGAAATAACATTGCTTCCTATGGTGCCTGCTCACATTTGTTCGGTACACTGGTGGTGCGGATTCAGTGCGGATTGAAAAAGAGTCATGTCCGATTTCTGAGCGATGCGGTCCAGTTCAGGTGGGAATTACAGGCTATTGACTTCTATGGGAACCATTTATAAAACCTGACATGTGTGAAAAGGATAAAATCCTGAGCTGATCCTGTCCTGAACCTGATGTAAACCTGACATGAACCTGTGAACAGCTACTGTGTCAATTAGCTGTGAAACCTGAGTTTCAGTTCGCACATGTGTGAATCAGCACTTAGTGCCAGTTCACATATATGCGGATTGAAGGTGTTTTTAACCTCCTCCAATTTGCATGACACGTGAAATAACATTGCTTCCTATGGTGCCTGTTCATATACAGTATGTCCGGTGCACTGGCAGTGCAGATTCAGTGTGGATTGAAAAAGAGTCCTGTACGATTTCTGAGGTTCAGGTGCAGATTACAGGCTATTGACTTCAGTGGGAACCGTTTCTGGGAGTTTAACTGGGAGTCAGACGTGAAGCCTTAGGAAATGTGTGTGTGTGTGTGTGTGGGGGGGGGGGGGGGATGTAGGGGATGTAAATCTTTTAATAAAGTAGTACTAAAGGCTGAAACTTTTTTTGCATGGATATAATCATTTTAAATATAACGCACCATACTGATAAACTTTTTCTTTAAATTTAAATTGTAATGCCTACTATACTCACTACTATAAAGGGTTACTTTATACTGTGAAACAGGGAACGTAAATATATATATATATATATATATATATATAGTGACAGTATGAACGGCAAGGTGATGGATGGATGCTATGTGTCACCTCGCATGAGGTCATACATTGAAGTTTAGGTGGAGTTCACTCCGGGTTTTCGGGGTCACAATGGCAGAGGTGGTTCCGGACGGGAGTTTGTGCTCCACTGGTGACCACCAACAGGTGGTATAAATAAAGCAGGGCTGGGGCAAGGAGCCGCTCGTGTGGCCCGGGACTCAGAGAACCATTCTGAGAGAGCTGTGCTTGGAAGTGATTGTTATACCACAAGAGACAAGGTTTGTTTATGGTTTTGTTTTGATGGTGACAGGGAGAAGCCCTTCACCAGTAAGAGAGGGAAAGCTCTATGTTTAGTTAGTGCCTGAATAGCAAGGGTTTATTTTGCTGTTTTGTTTGTTTCTGATATTTTCTGCAAACCTGTGAATAAAAACTGACAACCAGTCAGAGTTTTAAGAAAGCCTGCTGTGCGGTCTACCTGTTTTCCCAGGGAAGGTGATCCCCCCCCACCTGAGCTAACCCAACAATATATATATATATATATATACAGTGAGGAACAGAAGTATTTGAACACCCTGCGATTTTACAAGTTCTCCCACTTAGAATTCATGGAGGGGTCTGAAATTCACATTGTAGGTGCATTCCCACTCTGAGAGACAGAATGAAAAAAAAATTCAGGATATCACATTGTATGATTTTTTAAAGAATTTATTTGTCTTGCACTGCTGAACATAAGTATTTGAACACCTGAGAAACAGCAAGAATTCTGGCTCTCAAAGACCTGTTACTGTGCCTTTAAAAAGTCCACCTCTACTCCACTCATTAATCTAACTTAGTAGCACCTATCTGAGCTCTTTAAAGACACCTGTCCACCCCACAGTCAGTCAGACGCCAACTTCTACCATAGGTAAGACTAAAGAGCTGTCAAAAGACACCAGAGACAAAATTGTGGACCTCCACAAGGCTGGAAAGGGCTACGGGGCAATTGCCAAGCAGCTTGGTGAAAATAGATAAACTGTTGGAGCAATTGTTAGAAAATGGAAGAGGCTAAAGACGACTGTCAGTCTCCCTCGGACTGGGGCTCCATGCAAGATCTCACCTCGTGGGGTATCACTGTTGATAAGAAAGGTGAGTAATCAGCCCAGAACTACAAGGGAGGAGCTGGTCAATGACATGAAGAGAGCTGGGACCACAGTTTCAAAGGTCACTGTTGGTAGAACACTACGCCGTCATGGTTTCAAATCATGCATTGCACGGAAGGTTCCCCTGCTCAAGTCATCACATGTCCAGGCCCATCTGAAGTTTGCCAATGACCATCTGGATGATCCAAAGGAGGCATGGGAAAAGTCATGTGGTCAGATGAGACCAATGTAGAACTTTTTGGTCTAAACCTCACTCGTCGTGTTTGGAGGAAAAAGAAGGATGAGTTGCATCCCAAGAACACCATCCTTACTGTGAAGCATGGGGGTGGTAACATCATGCTTTGGGGTGCTTTTCTGCAAAGGGGACAGGGCGACTGCACTGTATTAAGGAGAGGATAAATGGGGCCGTTTATTGTGAGATTTTGAGCAACGACCTTCTTCCCTCAGTCAGAGCATTGAAGATGGGTCGTGGCTGGGTCTTCCAACATGAAAACGACCCGAAGCACACAGCCAGGATAACCAAGGAGTTGCTCCATAAGAAGCATATCAAGGTTCTGGAGTGGCCTAGCCAGTCTCCAGACCTAAATCCAATAGAACATCTTCGGATGGAGCTGAAACTCCGTGTTGCTCAGCGACAGCCCCGAAACCTGACAGATCTAGAGGAGATCGGTGTGGAGGAGTGGGCCAAAATCCCTGTTGCAGTGCAAACCTGGTCAAGAACTACAGGAAACGTTTGACCTCTGTAATTGCAAACAAAGGCTTCTGTACCAAATATTAACACTGATTTTCTCAGGTGTTCAAATACTTATGTTCAGCAGTGCAAGACAAATACATTCTTTAAAAATCATACAATGTGATTTCCTGAATTTATTTTGTAAATTCTGTCTCTCAGAGTGGGAATGCATCTACAATGTAAATTTCAGACCCCTCCATGATTTCTTAGTGGGAGAACTTGCAAAATCGCAGGGTGTTCAAATACTTCTGTTCCTCGCGGCGATCGGCGGTGCGCTGTGTCCCTCAGACACAGCAGATCACCGATCACGGAAAGAGCCGAAGATGTCGGCTCGGTCATGTGATCAGCAGTGTCCAATCACAGCTGATCACATGTAAACAGGGAAATGCCGGTTATCGGCATTTCTCTCCTCTCGAGCTGTTACCCGGTAATCGGCATTCCTCGGAGGGGACATGTACACTGATCATCAGGGCACTGAGGATCAGTGTGCCCTGATGATCAGTGTAGCCCCAGCAGTGCCACCTGTCAGTGTCCATCAGTGCCAGCTGTCAGTGCTTATCAGTGCCTCGTGCCAGTGCCCATCAGTGCCACATCAATGCCACATATCAGTGCCTACCAGTGCACATCAATGCCACATATCAGTGCCCATATGAGCTGCCTTTCAGTGTCACCCATCAGTGCCAGTCAGTGCCACCTATCATTGCCACCTATCAGTGCCAGTCAGTGCCGCCTGTCAGTGCACATCAGTGCTGCCTGTCAGTGCCGCCTGTCAGTGCACATCAGTGCCACCTATCATTGCCAGTCAGTGCCGCCTATCATTGCCAGTCAGTGCTGCCTATCAGTGCCATGTATCTGCACTGCCTTTCAGTGCCCATCAGTGATGCCTGTCAATGCCCATCAGTGCCACCTACCAGTGCCTCCTCAACAGTGCCCATCAGTGCCACCTATCAGTGTCCATCAGTGCAGCCTATCAGTGCCCATCACTGCAGCCTCATTAGCGCACATCAGCGAAGGAGAAAAAATCACTTATTTACAAAATTTTATCACAAAAACTAAAAAAACTTTTTTTTCTAAATTTTCTGTGGTTTTTGGTTTGTTTAAGAAAAAATAAAAAAACCCCGAGGTGATTAAATACCACCAAAATAAAGCTCTATCCGTCACAAAAAATGATAAAAATTTAATATGGGTACAGTGTTGCATGACCGCACAATTGTCACTCAAAGTGCGACAGCGCTGAAAGCTGGAAATTGGCCTGAGCAAGAAGGGGGTATAAGTGCCCTGTAGGTTTTTGGTTAAACAACAAACATGTCATACTTACCTCTACGTAGAGCTGCAAAGTATAGTATAGAGCAGTGTCTCTTAACCTTTTTTCAGTCAAGACACCCTTTAAAAATATACACAATCTTGAGGCACCCCATTCTAAAATGTAAATATTTTACAATAGTTTTACACAATGCAGCAACATCCATACACGTAGGACACCCAACATTAGGTCCTCATGCACGCTGGACGTATTTACAGCGGCTGTTTTTGGCTTTTGGCATTTTTTTCTACAGCCAGTAAACTCCCCAGCATGTTATCCTATGTGCTCGTGCACACATAGGCTTTAATCCGCATTGTTTGGCAGGGGTGTTTTTTTTGGTTGGAAAAAAACCCAGAACAAGTGGTGTCCTAGAGGAGTTTTTATAGCTGTAAATCTTGTGAACTGAGCACTAAAAGCAGCATTCAGTGCTGCTTGTCTTTCAGACTGAATGAAGATCTTTCAGCCTGGGCTCATAGTAGTCCTAGACCAAGAATTGTTACTTGATTGCCACCTAGTCCAGTAGGGGGGACTGCCTGCCCATCTGCTCAGGAAGGACCCCACATGGAAGAAAAATATATTTGAAATATTTTTTAAAAATATTCTTCCCAAATATATTGACATATATTTGAAATACTACAATTCTGGCCATATTCAATATATTTCAAAGTATATTTCAATACATATATATATATATATATATATATATATATATATATATATATATATTGCATGTTGAAATGCGTTTTTTACATATTACAAAATATATGAAAATATTTTTAAAAATAAATATTTTTTAAATATATTCAGATTTTTTTTAACATATAACACAGCTCTTCTCTCTGCACAGGCTATGTACAGCACAGTGATGATGTCATCACAAGATTTATAAGGTTTGCAAAGGCATTTGATGCACCAAAGTCGGTTTATATCCTTTGTGGCTATAGATGAATATACACTATATTGCCAAACGTATTGGTCGGCCGGCCTTTACACGCACATGAACTTTAATGGCATCCCAGTCTGAGTCCGTAGGGTTCAATATTGAGTTGGTCCGCCCTTTGCAGCTATAACAGCTTCAACTCTTCTGGGAAGGCCGTCCACAAGGTTTAGGAGTGTGTCTATGGGAAGGTTTGACCATTCTTCCAGAAGCACATTTGTGAGGTCAGGCACTGATGTCGGGGGAGGAGGCCTGGCTAGCAGTCTCTGCTCTAATTCATCCCAAAGGTGTTCTATGGGGTTGAGGTCAGGACTCTGTGCAGGCCAGTCAAGTTCCTCCACCCCAAACTGGCTCCTCCATGTCTTTATGGACCTTGCTTTGTGCCCGTCTATAAATGAAAGGTCCTTTGCCTGGAGTTCAGCTTTAAATGCAGTAGAGAATTGTCAATTTTCCTGTGGGAAAGTCTCAGGACTTGGGGACAGAAATAAAATCTTCTTATAGGTAGAACGGCTTCTCTGTACATTATGTACTTGAAATGAGCATTGTAGTTCAGCTTTAAATAATTTCTAACGACTTTGCCTGAGCTTAGTATTCCTCCTTTCTGCAGTATTTTTGCATGTATTGTTATGGTGACAGCTGCAGGTATGTAGCATACAGTTCACTCCTACCTCTTACTTATCACCCAGGACAGTGGTGGTGACTGTGGGAGACAAAGGGGATCTATGTACACTGAACATGCTGACTAAATAGTGCGAAGGAGATGAGTAATCGTGACAGGTGCCAGAATTGTACAAACAGTAGATGCATCTGTCACATTATGTGGGATGAAGGATCTTAATGTTCAATGTTACTTCAGGCATCTCCTAAATTTTCCCTGCTCCCTTCCCATGTCAGTATGAAGCACTACCTCCACCATAATCCACACCCCCCGGGTCATTGCTGAATTTTCATAAATGAAGATTCTGTATCTCTGTTGCCATTCCCCAGAGTCTGTAATAACTGGAGATGACTGTCACAGGAGACTGTCAGCGTCAGTAAAGCTCAACTCCATCTAAACCTAAGATTTCAGTTTTGCATTGTTGCCAGCAAGCTGAATATAGACGAGAACAATATACTAAAAACCGTGAATTTACTTAAAAGGTTATTTCTGTATACATACAGTAGGTATATATAGGTATACTACAAGATTAAAAAAAAAATATATATATATATATATACACACACACTGCTCAAAAAAAATGAAAGGAACACTTTGAAAGCACATCAAATCTCACTGGGGAAAAATCTCCTGCTGGATCTCTATACTGACATGGATGGGGGTATTGTGTTAGGAACGTAAGGATGCCCCATGGAAATTAAAATTATCAACCTACAGAGGACTGAATTCAAAGACACCCCGAAAAGTAAAGTGAAAAAATTATGCAGCAGGCCAGTCCATTTTGCTGAAATTTCATTGCAGCAACTCAAAGTAGTTTGCATGGCCCCCGCTTGCTTGTATGCATGCCTGACAATGTCAGGGATGCTCCTAATGAGATGATGGATGGTATCCTGGGGTATTTCCTCCCAGATCTGGACCAGGACATCACTGAGCTGCTGGACAATCTGAGGTGCAACCTGGCAGCATTGGATGGACTGAAACATGATATCCCAGAAATGTTCTATTGGATTTAGGTCAGGCAAGCGTGGGGGCCATTCAGTGGTATCAATTCCTTCATCCTCTAGGAACTGCCTGCATACTCCCGCCACATGAGCACCAGTGTAGGGTCTGACAATGGGTCCAGGGATTTCATCCCAATACCTAATGGCAGTCAGGGTGCTATTGTCTAGCCTGTGAAGGTCTGTGCGGCCCTACATGGATATGCCTCCCCAGACCATCACTGACCCACCACCAAAACGGTCATGCTGGAGGATGTTACAGGCAGCATAATGTTCTCCACGGCTTGTCTAGACCCTTTCATGTCTGTCACATGTGCTCACATCTGTGAAAAGCACAGGGTGCCAGTGGTGGACCTGCCAATTCTGGTGTTCAATGGCAAATGCCAATCGAGCTCTATGGTGCCGGGCAGTGAGCACAGGGCCCACTAGAGGACATCCAGCCCTCAGGCCACCCTCATGAAGTCTGTTTCTGATTGTTTGAACAGAGACATTGACACCAGTGGCCTGCTGGAGGTCATTTTGTAGGGCTCTGGCAGTGCTCATCCTGTTCCTCCTTGCACAAAGGAGCAGATACCAGTCCTGCCGATGGGTTAAGGACCTTCTATGGCCCTGTCCAGCTCTCCTAGAGTAACTGCCTGTCTCCTGGAATCTCCTCCATGCTCTTGAGACTGTGCTGGGAGACACCGCAAACCTTCTGGCTATGGCACGTATTGATGTACCATCCTGGAGGAGTTGGACTGCCTGTGCAACCTCTGTAGGGTCCAGGTATTGCCTCATGCTACCAGTAGTGACACTGACCCTAGCCAAATGCAAAACTAGTGAAAAACAGTCAAAAAAGATGAATAGGAAGAAAAAAATGTCATTTGCCTCCACCTGTAAAACCATTCCTGTTTGAGGCCTGTTTGGGGGTCGTCTCATTGTTGCCCATCTAGTGCACCTGTTGTTAATTTCATTAACACCAAAGCAGCTGAAACTGATTAACAACCCCCTCTGCTACTTACCTGACCAGATCAATATCCCAGGAGTTTCATTGACTTGATGCTATACTCTGAATAAAAAGTGTTCCTTTTCATTTTTTTTGAGCAGTGTGTATATATATATATATATATATATATATATATATATATATATATCCACTCTCCACCCGCCCACAGTAGTTTCACTACGGGCGTGCGGCAGCTGCAGGCCAGGCGATGTACATTGTCTGTCACATACGCACTGTTGTACCTCTGGGCGCCCGCAGCTCATCACTTCTGGGACCACTTTGTCCACAGCAGATTGCAGAGCGTGGTGACCAGCCACTTTGAGCTGCTGGGATGTCACGTGTTTGCCATGCAATCTCATGATCTCAGTTCCAACACAACTGATATGAATGGGTTTCATTTATAACAGTTGTGCTTAGTGTGATACTGTGATTGGCTCACAGCTATCATATGGTACCTGGGCCAATCACAGCACCCTGTACTATGTGATTAGCTGAAAAAGCCCGGATGTGACGAAACGCGTCTGGGGCACGTGATGTGGTGACGTATTGACGTCTTCCGGAAGTACCGTGGCGGCCATTTTGGGTTCTGGAACACGCGGTTGTTCTAACCCTGGATACTTCCATTTGTGCCTGGCTCTCCTTCAGAGTGTTATGATGATTGAAAAGAGTTACCGCTAAGGAGGGGGGGTCTCTTCTTCTGGATTATTTCACTATATGGAAGCTGATCGCACCAAATTTATATGTAAGTTGCTACAATAAAATTTGCCTGTCTTTTAAAACATATACTGATCCCTGGTCTGTTTGAAGTCTTTGGGAAAAGGTTGGAGAAGATGTGAGAACAATTTTTGGAGACTTTCCTATCTATATTATGGATCCTATGCTGATTATATTTATGTGGGGGTAATTATGCACTTTTTATATTGTGTGCAGTGGAATTACTAATTTAAGTATTAGAGTCCAGAG